ACAACTTACTGTTCCTTGTATTGCAGAATTTCTTACCTGGCTTTTTAATAGGGGATCCTCTGTCTCCTCAGTTTCTGGTTATCGAGCATCTTTATTCCACACCTACCTTTTTCTTTGATACCATGGGGTTTTTACCTCTTCTACACTTTCCATGTTGATCTTTTCCTTCCATATTCATCATCCTCCGCAGCAGGATGCCCTTCCAAACTGGGATGTTAATGTTGTCTCCATTGCCTCACTTTACCTTCATTTGAACCACTTTTCACGTGCTCCTTATTTCATCCCTTAAGACTTATTTCCTTCTATTAGCCTGTGGACATCGGCAGTCTGATTTATTTGCCATTAATGTTTCACGTACTTTTGTCATCCTACATATCTTCTCCTTTATCCAAATCATTCTTTCCACCCTAAAACCTTGGAGACCAGGGAGGGTAATTCCTCCTTTTCACCAATTTCTCTTCCTTCCATTTCCCACCTTTATACTTGGCCTGATCCGAATAGACTTCTATGCCCTGTACATGCTCTTCGATGTTATATTGCTCGCATGGTTTCCATTCCTGCTTCTTAATTTCTTAGCAACCATCGCTGTTCATGATCTTTCTCCTTCCACCCTCATCATTGGGTTCGACTTTTGATACATAGGGTCACTATTTCTTCCTCTTCAGGATATCTTCTTCTACCTGTAGCCATTCTTCAGACTTCTGTGCGACTATAAGACTGGGTAAGTTATACTTATTCTTTTTAAGTTTTTGAGGGGCCTTATTTTCTTTTTCATCATAATTTTCATTGTTTGGATCCCTCTCTGTGGCGAGTGTTGCCTGACCAGGTATTCTTTAACCTTTAAAATCCACACTGTTCAACCATGTTGATGCGCTTAACCCTATCGTCACAGGTATCCTTTACTAAGCATGACACAGGGTTTTATCGTCTTACATTCAAAATTTAATTAAACTACTTTTTGTTTATGTTACACCAATTAGAATAGCATAAAATCTTAGCTAATAATCCAATTTTAATAGTATATAAGTTTTAAGCTCTTAATTCTACAGGCAATATTTTAAAAAATCCTAAATTTCTCTTAGTGTAACACATGTGACACATTTTCTCTAGGCATGTTGTGCCCTTTATTTTATCCACAACCCCCTTGAAAAAATACTAAATTCAATGTGAATTACTTACTCTAAAGTCGTCATTGCTTCAACACACCATATTTTTTTATAGCATTTAATTTTGTGTGGTTACGGAGCTATTGAATAGAAAATCAAACCCCTTCTTCCACACCCACCTGCCACATCATCTTTTTCAGGATTTGTTAATAGTTCTCCCTTGCATATAATTATATATTACCTATAACCAACAGAAAGTCAAGGTTTTTCATCAGTCAAATGGCATATTGTAAAACATTATGATCTGAATGGTTAAATGTCAATTTCAATCGGATTATCAACATTGTTCCCGTGAGAAAGTTAATGACTAGCTTAGATGAATTTGTAATGACTCTTGTCACATAGGTAGAAAGGTTTATATCGATTCTTTTTGGTGGTTACAAGGTCCATTTTGAAATAACCTAGAGAAAATAACAAATAAACTATAAATTTTTCTGAAGAAAAAAAACGTTTGATATGCATTTAGGAGGTTTTAAGGATTACCCAAAGGATACCTGAGATTTTTGAAATGAGGAAAAGT